CCGCCGCGTGCCTAGTAGTAGTAGGAGGAGTATGAGGAGGAGCAGCAGCAGTAGCAGTAGCAGTAGCAGTAGCAGTAGCAGTAGCAGTAGCAGCAGTAGTAGTAGCAGTAGTCATAGTCGTGGTAGTGGTCGTAGTGGGGGGTAATAGTAGTACGAGGAGGAGGGGTACAGTAGGGGTACGGTACGGGCAGGGGTAGGGCTGGGTGGGGTAGGAGTCGGTGTAGGACTAGTGTAGGAGTAGGAGCAGTAAGAGGAGCCGGAGGAGTAATCCTTTCCCCCTGATATTAAAGGGCCCCCACCCTAATGTAAATACTCCGAGCCGTAATTTTAGGAGGGGTATTTATCGATATTTATCGTACGACCCGAAAATTAGGCAGGCTATGTAATTGGGTCCTACTGCAATTCAATTCAAATCGAATAAAAGTCGATCAAATCGATTTGAAAACTCGATTAAATCGAATCAAAATCATAAGAAATCATAATAAGACCGAGGCTAGGAAATTAAGGAAGTCCAATCCTTAAGAGTCGCGCTAGGGACCCCCCCCGGTAATTAACGTCAGTCTTGGCCCTTGGAAAAGTAGTCTTGGGGGCGGATTTCAAGAATCTCGAGTTCTGGGGAATCCGTATATTATGTTAAGGGGGGGGTGAGAAGGGAGTAGGAGGAACAGGAGTAGGAGGATTCGTAGGTAGTAGGAACAGTAGGAATAGGAATAGTAGGAATAGGAGTAGTAGGAGCAGTAGGAGTAGTAGGAGTAGCAAGAGAGCATGTTGACAGAGACAGTAGCTGACCATGTTGGTAGATCAGAACTTGTTGTTACGCAGTCGCCGCCTTATAGCTTCAAGTGTCTTCGGCCATGCCACGCAGCCATGCGGCAGCATGCAGATCTTGGCAGCTTGGCTGCACACGGTCACACTTACAAAGTTCTAGCATGTCGCATCAGGCTTCTGGCTCGCGCAGAGGATTGCTAAGCCTAGCCTCCACTGTGATAATTGCGACTTCCGGGTTTCTGTTTTGGGCAACAAAAGGGAAAACAAGTTTGCTAAGAGCACTCTAAGAGCTCTGAAAGCCCATGCGCACGACATTTGTGAAGGAGGCGTTGCAGCGCATGTGCATTGAAGGTCCATGTGTATTAGCCCCGCTCATATGATTTGAAAGTCAGGCTGGTGGAATACCAGCAAGTAGAATCAAGACCTATCTCACGCGCACGTGTTCTGTGCAAGTAGCATGCAGTGCAGCATTTTCCACATCATTTTGGAGGGAAGTGCTATTATGAGATATCTCATTCTTTCGTTGCAACAGATCGAAATTAGCCCCAGATGGCATTCCACTGGATCAGCCGCCAATTTGGGTCACCTTCAGACAATCTATCGAGAAGGTTGGGCTGATGAGCCATGCTGAGCCGAAAGAATAAAGTTGGAGTTCTTGAGGGACGTTTGTGCAGCACCTAAAGCATGCTGAGATGTACTCCCGCTGCAGCATAGGGCTGGCCAGACGTTGGACTGACAAGGGCAGCGTATAGTAAATGCATCAAGGGCCATGGCTACTGCTTCGTGGCGTGCAGGCGACGTTCTCACTGCTTCTCGCGCTGGTTATGCCGGAGTTACATCACAGCACGCTGCTGCGGGGAGTCCTGCCAGAGCTGAGATGGCACTGAACCAGGATAAGAACAAGCTTCAGCTGCGGAGATACGGAAGTCCAGGGAAAGAAAGATCTTTCAAGTTCAGCGACTGTGTAGTTTCAGAGAACAGTCCTACCAACGCATACTCCCCTCGCAGTTCGGCCATTGTGCCTGGCTTCTCGCGAGGGTCAAGCCCTTTGCGAGGGCTGAAGGCCGGAGAGCTCATGTCCGCTGTGAGAGACCGAAGAGAGACTGAAGAGACGGAAGGCGACGGAGGCGACCAGCATGCCATGGCCATGGCCTGGCCCTTCCCTCAGCGCGGGTTTGCGCGTTCGGCGAGCCCCTTCCGATCACGAAGCCGCAGCGGGAACCTCGGAAGTCCTGGAGTGCGAGACAGGCAGAGCTTGGTCTTCCTTGCAGCGACGGCCGCGGCGGCTGCTGAGGAGGAGGCCGATGTCGACGTTTTGCGCCTTGGTGGTGTTGGCCGGGACGGGCACACACGCCCGCTTTCGCCTCGAGTGCGCGACAGCCATTGGCTTGATGGACTGTCTCCTCGGATTGCGGAGCGCGGAGGTTCTCGATTGTTCCCAACGCACTTGGCCATGCCCAAGGATCGAGCTAGCCCCTCAACTAGCTCCGCAAAGACAGGTGGAGCATACATGTCACCAAAAGCCCAGCGCAGTCCACGGGCTCAGGCCAGTGCTGCAGCTGACGAAAGCAAAAAGAAACCCGAAGCTAAGGCAAAGTCACCTCAAGGCCCGCGAGCAAAGAAAAAAACAAATCTCCCTCACAAGAAGTCCGACAAGGAAAGCTCAGATCATGCGCCGACAGGTTCTGTGGAAATCGCGCAGCTCCCTGCCTGGGCTAAGCCGTTGGAGAGCAGGCCGAGTCCAGTTTCTCAGGAGGCCGAAAGCCGCGAAAGCCGCAGCTCTTCAAAAGAGTCCAAGGACCTCTCCAAGCTTCAAGCTTTGAGGCAACGCCTCGAGACAAGACTGAAAGCAGCAGAGCAAGGCTCGTAGCCGCTTGTAGCTTCAGGGCCCAGCTGCATTGGTCTTGAGCCCATCGTTTTCCATTGTTTCACCCTGTCGCGCTGTCAAGGGAGGAGGAGCCCAGCAGTACTGCTACGGACAAAGAGGCGTACACGCTATCGACTTTGACGCCTAGGCCGTATCCAGATACTACCCCTTACGCTGTGAGTCATACAGCAGGAGGTTCTTCCTGTCGTTGGTGCTCGCATTTCTGGCATCTTGTTACAGTCGGCAGCAATTTCAGAACTCTGCTCTTGAGGCAGCGTCTGATCTTCGAACGCAGGCAGGGGCAGGAGAGGTGCTATCCATTGCCACAGACAGCAGGACATGAATCACGATGGGCCTAGTTCTCACCCTCTAACTGCAACATGTAGGAGGTGGGTCGCAGCCCACGCCTCATGCTTCGTGTGCAAGGAGCCTACTCTGCAGTGGATTCTTCGCCTCCAGGACCCTACAGGCTCAAGACTCAGTGAATAGAAGCATTTATGATGGTTGTCTGGTAAGTGCAGATCTCATATGCGCCTTTGCCAGAGTGCGTGATGTTTGTTTATGAAAAGCCAACGACGGTTATGATGGCATGATGCTCAAGTCTGGTTCAGGAAGTGCGGTACACAAGTAAATTCATCAGGCCAGCATTGCTGCCAAAACGTGGTATGCATGCTGCCTCCATGGCAAAGCCACAGCCAGACTATGATGAGGAGGCACGTAAGCTCTTCGCAGCATTAAACCTGTCCGTTTCTGGTGCTGCGTCGTCAGAGTCTTCTCGCCTGCATGGTTGCTCTGGAGGCCAATGAGCAACTTTTTTTAATTTGAGGAACTTTGGAAAATTGAATTGCACAATCACCTCTAACAAGTAACAAGCCACCAGCTGCTGAACAATGCGCAAGCCAGGTTACAACAATTTGGATGCAGTTTGGAAGCATCCCACCACTGGAGCCCAGGTTTTCATTGGAAATGCCACGGCAAGCAGTCAGCGAGAGATCCTTCGCCAGAATGGCATCACGCACATTGTGAATTGCACAAGTGATATGGCTGACACATTCAAGGGCAAGGATAGCTCAATCACATACTTCCGGTTCGACCTTTACAAGTTCTTTTCCGCTCTGGATCTACGATCTCATCATGGCGTGCTTGAGTTCTTCCTGCCGGTGTTTCAGTGGATAGATGCAGCTGTAGAGTCTGGACTGCTGGCCTTCCAAAAATGCTTTGCCTGTTCATATAACGTGCGCAAGTTGTGCCGCAAGTTGAAGACACGCTGCAGGACATAGCGTGTTGATCCACTGCTTGGCCGGAGCACATCGGGCGGGCACCACCGGCGTTGCGTACGTCATGCATGCTGCCAACATGGACCATCGGACTGCCACCTGGAAAGCATTTGACAAGGGCTGTAGGGGGGCGCCAGTGGTGTAAAGCGGTTGGATGCCCTGAAAGTGTGAAAGCGACTGCCACCTGTGCCTGTGAGGCTATTCTTGCTTGCAAGGCTTGCCGACCAGCCGTAGACCCGATCGGCGATCTCACCACTCTTCTGAGCCAGCTTCATGCTGCACGTCAAGCCTCCCAGGCTGCCCTGGCTGCCAGGCAGTGAAGCCTGGCTACCCGTTGACATGCGAAACAAAAGCGGACAGAAAAGACATTGGATTGGGCTTGAGCAAGGTCCGCAGCAGTAATTGCAGCTGCGCGCTTCATCTCTATGCCAGTGGTGTCAGGTAGTGTAGCTTGGCGCACGCTCATCTCTTGTCTAGCCGCTGGCAAACAGCTCAACATGATTCGCAAGGTGCAGGATAGCAAAGATGACGATTCCAACTGCTGAGGATGCCTCCCGACGTTGATTCGCAGTGGCGGAAGGAAAAGCTGCTTCCAGCATGAGCTGCTGTTCTGCGCGTGGCCGCTCCATGCCAGTTTGTGTATGTTTGTCTGTGCTGCCGAAGACACCTTTGGTTCCAGCAGCTCAGCTTCAGCCCGCCACTGTTGGATCAACATGCAGATCTTTGTACCTCGGAACATTGATTGGTTGAACGCTTTCAAGAGCAGCAGCCCTTGGTGTGCGCAAAGGTGAAGACCCTCACTGGCAAGACCATCACACTCGATGTGGAGGCTGCAAAGCTTTGTGACTGCTGTAGTCCACCGATGTTTACAATCTCAATGGATTCGAGCTACTACGAATGCCAACAGTTGAGTGCCAACTTCGCACGCACACCATGCAACACAGGAGTGTTGCTTGATAAGGTGTCACTCGTAGCAGGCGCTTTCATCCCGTGCTCTGCCTGCAGGCTTCTGATACCATCGACAACGTGAAGGCATGGACCTCAAGAGGTTGCAAAGCAAACCACAGCTGCCGAGTTGCGATTAACGCCAGGCCAAGATCCAAGACAAGGAGACTTGGCTAGGAGGTTCCGAGGGCTCCAGTATGCCTCACTGTGTTGCCATATCACTGTTTGTGATGAACGACCCTCCCAGTTGAGCTGGGTGATATGTAAGGAAGGCATCCCGCCCGACCAGTGTGGCCCTGAGACCACGCAATGAAGCGCATGGCAAGTAGCCTCATCAGCTGGGAGAGTGGCGTGCTTCATATCCAGCTTAGACTACTGAATATTGAAGAATCAAATGAACTGGGTGCAGTACCTTGCAAAGACCCGAAATCTACCCTGGTTCCTTTTTCAAAGTTATGGTCACACCGTTCCCTTCAATTCAAGAGCCTCGATCCAGAGGCAACGGCTAATTTTCGCGGGGAAGCAGCTGGAGGACTCTGCATGTGGTGAGGTTGTGGTTTGCATTGATCCTTTTTTGGCAGGATGGCCGCACCTTGAGCGATTACAATATTCAGAAGGCCAAAAATTGCTTGGATGACATGATGCGAGCTTGGGACAAGATTGCACCTACGCAGGAGTCCACCTTGCACTTGGTACTTCGCCTTCGTGGTGGACACTGTCAGGTGCCGTGTGGCCGCTGGTCACATACTTCAGCGTATTTCAGCGTTTGCTCCAACTTAGAGACTAGGGGCTCAGCGGCCACCAGTAAGCTGATCTTATCGAACACATGCTCAGGCATATTCGATGATCCCAAGCTTGTTGCTGACATGAAAGAGGCTGTTGCCACAATCAAGAAGGCCAGGCTATGCTGAGACACTTGAGGGAGGCCGCCTGCCGGATACAATAAGATGGCTGCAAAGAAAGACCGGCATGTGACAACAACAAAACAAACATGCGAAGGATCTCCACTGCAGAGCTCCTGTCATGCCACTCACAGGGAGTTGTTGCAGCAAACAGTCTGCTTGCGCTTGACAGCCTCTTTAAGCATCCAGTTGTAGGCTATGGTCCAGATTGGGGAGCTGTCGGCAGATGTCCCAGACTCGCCTCGTGGCATAGGGCCTTGTGCAGCACGGGCTGGTCCTGAATAAGTTATTGTAGGCCAGTATGACGCCGTTGAACATCAATCAGATGACACGCTGGGTGAACACCAAGGACCTGCCTCTTGTCTCAGCGAATTTTGCAGTTATTGGTTGCACGAATCTGCCCTTACCTGCAGAGGAAGAGCATGCTGGCAAGATTATCAGTCTTGTGCGCAGTCCTTATCTTTGCGGTTGAAGCTAATTCTTCAAGTCTGTTCCCACCATGTCCTGCCCGAAAAGGTCAGAGTACTGCTTGTGCCAGCGTGTAAAGCCCGTCACCGACCCGAAGACTCCATTTTCCAGTGAGGCCGGGCACAGGACAACCTTTGCTAGCAGTTCTAAGCCTTGTCACTGGTTCAGCATCTTGAAGTCTAGCGCAGGCGGACTTCATCGCAGCACTTCAATGCCACCACAAGGCCAAAATTCCAAAATGACGTCCATGCACAGCAGCTGAGACTGTAATAGCTACCAAACCAGGTGATGCTGGCGGCCGTGAAGTGCAAGCAAAACGTGGACCCGGCATTGGCCGATGCTCTCGATGCGGCAGTTGCTGACATGGGCAAGATGTGCCTTCTGGGATATGAGGGCACATGTCTGCGAGATTCCTAATTCTGTGGTAAGGGCAAAGCCGCAGCATGCTCATGTATTGGCAGGTACATCAAGTGAGCGAATCTTGGCTGCAAACAATCTTGCATATTGTGGTTTGCGCAATCCCTGGGAAATTGGATGGCCTCGAAAGTAACGGCTCGGCATGTGAAAAGGGCTTGATGTCTGCCAGGACTTAGTGAGTGCGGCCATCCTCTACCATGAGTACTCTGCGTGCTTCGCTGTGACATCAGTAGGTGGCCTGCTTTATTTAGACAGTTCCGCATCCAGGATTTCCTGGCGGAAGGCAGCGGCATTGAAAAATGAGTTCGAGCATGTGCTGCGCGATTACACGTGTTCATGTAGGAAGTACACGTGCGTGAATGATCACCATGGCTGCTGAGGCCTGACATCATCCCGCAGAGGGCGCAGTGCTGAAATTGTGCCATGACCTCAGGGTTTTCTGTGTCTGTGTGATGTCGAGTTTGTGGGCGTAGCAGACAGCCCCGCATGGCCTGCCATGCGGTATCATCAAGGCCTCCTATGGTGCTTAAGGCTCCTGCGTGTGGCACTCGCCCCAGGTCCAGGCTGCGTCTCGCCTTGCCATGGACATGGCATGACCAGACCAGGTTCACACACTTTGATGTCTCGGCGGACGCCTTGTTCTCGGCTGCAAGTGTCAAGTTGAAGCACTCGCCTGTCTTGTGTAGCTTGCGAGATGTGCTGATCTGGAAAAATGCATCCAGACAAGGTTCAGCTTGCCGCGGAAGGCAGATGTTGACAGAGCCGCATGTGAAAGCCGTACCGGCCTTGCTTCTCAGGACCGGATGGCTGAGGTGGCGCCATGTCAGGGACCTATCATGCGATCTGAATTGCAAGCCTCTATCACATTGTTGGCTTTGTGCACATTGCAAGGCGAGCCTTCTGGACCTCACGTCTCGCCGATGCCGCCGCGGCTCGGCCGAAGCATGTTGTACTGTAGCTTCATATAGAGCTTAATATACCCCGAGCCCGGGCTCCATGCAAGTCGGCTGGTGCAAGCATGTCCAGCACCACCTCAATGGTGCTCAAGCAGAGTTGGAGGGGTCAACAGTGTGGACAACGCTGTTTTCACATACTTCCTGCATTGGCAAGCAGGTGAGTAGCATATCATTTAGGGATATCGAGTCCCCAATGAAGGCCCAAGTCACCGCCGGCTTTCCTGTCCTACGGCTGCATTAGTCGCAGCGGCTGTACAGGCGGCATATGCTGCAAAGAGCTGCCGCTACCCCCGGCAACCCGTGCTCTATGTGGTGCTGCCTCGCGGCACTACCGCTGCCAGAGATGAGAAGGCACTATAGTTGCGTGAGATTTGGAAGGCCAAGAAGCAGCTGAAGCGCACGAAGCCCAAGGAATCGCGCAAAGGTAGTTGAAAGTGACCCCAACGGTCGCATAAACAAGGGCGTGGCCACCTCCCTTGATGGCGACTGTCCCCTTGGAAATGCGTTCTGCTGATGTGCACGGGATGCGAACGTGAAAGGAAGTTGTATATGTGGAAACGGTTGTGCGAGGGAAGGGACGTAAGAATGATGATGCAGACGTGGCCCCATTGCCAACCACTGAGCGTCCAAGGCCGGTGGTGTCCTACCTTCTTATCCGAACAAGCAATTTGGAGTCCGACTGCAACTGCACAGCGACATTCCTCATCATACCTTAAACATAGCAGGAGGCCTGTGAGAATCAGAGCCTGCCACCCTCCTGCCGCGCTCGTGAGACAATGCCAGAGTTAGATTTTGCGAGTGCATCATGGTGGTGCACCTGTTCATTTTTTGTGCTGTGAGACGTCCCTTCAGGAAGCTTTCAACAGTCTGTGCATGCCTCTGCTGGCCGCGGATGAACAAGCAAGCTGCACCGTTTCAGCATACTTTGGCAGAATATTGCCGGTCCAAGCAGATGTCCAGGGCAGGGTGCGTCGCTACGTAGGATCACCAAACCAGTGAAGTTCGCTTGAAACCCACAAGGAGAACATGAAGCACAATTCAAGGCAGATCCCAACACACGCGATGCAAGATCTTGAGTACCAGACCCGCAGAGCCAGAGCACCTTCAACAGGTAACATGAGCCTCAAAGATCCAAGGGTGCTGTGCTTCGCGGACTTGTCAAGTGACAGCATGTTTCAACTCCTCGGCTCTGGTCAGGGCGACTCCTCGAGGTGGGCAGTGTGGGCAGCGACCTCCAGCGGCTCAATGCTTGGCAATGCTGAGCATGATGGCATATGATGGCTACGTGGTTGGCGAAGTTGGCTTCTGTTGAGCTTGAGGTCTCACTGCGGCCTCCACGCCCCATCAATTCAGTCGCCCTGGAGGCAACAAGGCATCGTGCATAGCCTGTGCAAGCTTACTCCTGGGACTCACAAACTCGTCAGCATGCGAACTGTCAGACTCTTCGAGGATATTAAGAGCACCCCCACCCCACGCAGAAGTCAGTTGAGGTTGTGTTGGAGTTGACACCACTCTTGAACCCTCCATTTCATTTAGCTGAGCAGTCTAAGGAATGCGTCCCATTCTTGCGTCCCGCTCGTTTTGCGCTCAGCTAAGACATCGAACGAGTAACCTGAAGTCATGACATACGTTAAAAACCCTCCGTACCCTCGGCGTCCCCACCCTTCGTCTTGCGATGTCACACCGCGTTTGAGCAGGAAGCTCAGATCATGACGGATTTTCCTCCTTACCCTTGTGACTGTCTGACGCATCTGAGCTGAGGTGATCCTGACATTTGTAAGCTTTCAAAGGCGGGCATCCTCCATCCCGAACCCGAACCCGAACCCGAACCCGCCCCCCTCGATCCACAGCGCGCTAGCGATCCCGAACCAGAACCCGAACCGGGCACCTGGGGCACTGACTGTGGAGAATCTGTGGAGCCTCGTGAGCCCAGTAGACTGAATTGGACTGAACATGCGAAGCCATGCAATAGAGATCCAGAGATTGCAGCAGGCCGCGGTGTGGAATCCCACCTCTCCCGAAGAAGGATTCTGACTCACCTCGGGTGTGTGGCCAAGTCTTGTATTTTGTTCGGGAAATATTGGGGGCGTGGGCACAGCATGCTGCCGTGCGCTGAGATATCTTCACGGCCTGAGTCACAAGGCTCTGTGATTCTTCGATCAGTTTTCCCTTCGCAGCCAGCTGACCTGCTCGAAGGCCACACGCGCTCAATCTTGCGATCGTCCCGATCAAGAGAGAGGCAGGCAGCATTTGACCGACAAAGTCGACTTCAGAAACTTGACCGAACATTCGCGGCTGCAGGGAGGCTAGCATGCCCATAGACCGCCTGTAAAGCCCAGCTTCAATTGCCGGTGATAGGTCCCTGCATGGTTGCATGCACAACGATCAAACGTCTTGCCGCATAAGACATCGCAGGGGGCGGGTCAATTGCAGTATGCTTGATTTGGTAAGCATTGCCGAGCAGATCAGATCAGAAACTGCACCAGACTGGCTTCCATTTATAAGAAGATCATTGCTGAGCCTTGTCATGAGCTGCCAGGTCCCATTCGCAAAGCAAGCGAGTTTCATTCTCTGGCGACTGCAAGCCTGCGGCCCGAAGGAAGGAGGTGCCGCTTATCTGAGAGTCGTGAGACATGAGTCATGAGGCCGGCGCCCCCTGCCTCCATCAACGACTTGATTCACCAATGCAGAGCCCCTGCACAGGTACTTAGTGAGCAACAACTGCTTTCATCCGTTCAACCCTTCGTCTCTGTGCCCTTGGAGGAGGATATCGAGACCCGTCCTTCGGATGCTTGTGCACCTGGTGGGTGTGAAGCTACCGCAGGCTGCAACGTACCTTCTGGATGCATAGGCAGAGTGCTTGCACAGTGACTCAGTAGTGTGCCAAGTACTAAAGATGGTTGTTTCCAGCACGGCCAGGCTTTGAACAGATGTGAAACCAAATGTTACCTGCAAGCTGTTGGCTCAAATCCTCAGCTAAAACAGCGAACCGTTCCATATTGCCGTGGCCCAAGCTGCCAGCAAGGATGAGTTCTGTCAGCCTTGATGAAACATGCCTGCAGTAGCTATCAGTTGCTCCCCTAGAACCAATTCCCTGGCGACTTGGACAGCTAAACTAGGCAGACCAGCAAGCTAAGTCGCACAGGCTCCCAGTGCTTCGCTTACGCCTAAGTCGTTTTTCAGCGCAGTTTGTAGGAACCTGAGGCGATCAGCTCTTGGTCGTGTGGTGCAGTCTGATGTTACGCTTGTGGATTCTGAAGCAGTCCCGGGGAGGTTGCAAAAAAAACAAGGTAATGTAGATAGATACAGCTTTAGCAAGACTAGTTCTGAGTGGGCTTTTCATCTTTCAAGCACGCGCCACAGGCAGAGCGATGGTTTGGCAAAAGGTTCTCATTGCAGCGATACTCGCAGCGGATGCGGAGGTGTGTGATGTATGTGAGGACCTGCAAGTAGAACTGACCTGACATTCAAGCTTAAAACACAACGATTCTTGGCTTGCTGCCTGCTGTCCCAAGTAGGCATTCATGGGTCTTGTGCCAATGTGCAGCAAGAGAGGCAATAATCTGCCCTTCTCGCTTGCTTTTGGGAAGGTCGTATAAAGTGGCTTGCGTGCCCATGCAGGATTCTCAGCACCTTCACCTAGTACAAAGGCCTGGAATCGATGACGCTTTGGAGCGTTTTCGAAAGACTTGAGTGGCAGAGACGCGACAAGAGTCCTTGTACCGTGATTCAAGAAGGTCAGTGTAGAAGCTGTTAGTCGATGTTGGGAGGCAGCTCCAAATCCTGCGGGCTCCAACTGCCACACGAACGTGGGAGGAGGATCCGAAATTGTCGAAGCATGCTTCGTGTTCAGGTCTTGCTCTGCTTTCTGAAGGCTCGGGCTGCGGCCAAGGACGTTGTCGGCCAGCTGGTGGAGGAAGAGTTGCACGAGCTAGTTAGAGGCACGGAGAGATAGAGAGAGTGAGAGAAGAAGAAGAAGAAGAAGAAGAAGAAGGGCAAGTGCCCGGAGCAATCGATGATTGCTCCATAGCCCATATGAAAGAAAGAAAGAAAGAAAGAGAGGGCTGCAAGGGCCCCCTTGAGCCTGTACGGAAAGAAGGAGCGAGAGACAGAGAGAGAGCTAGAGCGAACATGCTGTCCACCTATGATACCTTGGCGCAGGAAGTATACTTGCTACAGCTAGCTCTTCTAGTATCTGTTCTTAGTGGAGGTGCGGGACTGTAAGTCTCACAATTCGCATCAATTCGCTGGAGTAGGGAGGAGTATCATTTGATTGCCTGAAGGGAAAGTGAGGGCCTTGATGAGTCCTGTAACCAGTCTGTAACCTACGTATTGAGCTACGGACTGCATTTGGGAAGTCAAACGTTCGGTGCTCCGGTCCTTGCGAGACTGACCAGACCATGGACTAAGCTGGGCCAAGGAGTGCAACCCCTGCACTCCTCAACAGGGGGAGGGAAGAGAGAGCGAAAGAGATTAGGAGGGTGCACTTGTACGGCTCAATAACATGTCGTAATACTGGGGAGCTTCCCGGAACCACAAGTAATGGACCAAAGCGTGAACAATACTGGCAACTAACCAGCAGCCAGCTGCAGTAGGAGCTTCTTTGTCGTGGAACTGCTTGCTATTGTGGCCATGTTTCTTTGCATCATCTAGCTGCTATGGCAACGCTTGATGTCGAATAAGCGGGCGTGCTGTCACAGTCAAGATGATGACGGCGACACCGACGGCGGCTACGACGACGACTCCTGCGACTACGACTATGGCTACGGCGGCTACGACGACTCGGACGACTACTGCAATACAACTACTACGACTACTACGACGACGACGATTACTGCTGCTGGTGCTGACTCTTGCTGCTACTGCTACTGCGCCTACTCCTACTCCTACTCCTACTCCTACTCCTACTCCTACTCCTCCTACTACTACTACTACTACTGACAACAACTACAACTACAACAGCAACAACAACAACAACAACAACTACTACTACTACTACTCCTACTACTACTACTACTACTCCTCCTACTACTACTACTACTAGTAGGGGAACGTCGCGTAGCTGACGGTAAGTTTTTCCCTACTTCAAGTTGATTTTACAGTGTTTTCGGCCTCATTTTGACATTTCTGGGGGGGTTGTTTTTTTTCTGAAAAACTGCGCAATGTTGCTACCTTCGCGTTTCTGGTGTGGGTGGGAGGGTGGGGGAGGGAAGGGGGGGGGGGTAATTACGTTCGTGAGGACAGTAAGCACAACAAGCTCCGAAAACAAATCTGACAAACTTAGGAAAACCTGTGAGAAAGCTTGTCCGAGTATTCGTAAGGGGGATGACTAGGTTCCTGAGACACTAAGCACAGCAAGCTCCGAAAGCAAACCTCTGAAGCATTCAAACTTTCTAAAACCGTAAACCCTGAGGTCTAAACCTAAATCCTAAGCCCATATCCCTAATCCCTAAACCCTAAGCCCTAAACCTGCCAGTATTGCAGAATTGAAGCTTCGCCTATTGACTGTGAGGCTGGGCATGTGAATTCTGTGCACTTCAGAGCAATGCTTTTGGACTTGAAGAATTCATGAATTCTGGAATTTGGAGTTGCCTGACTGTTGCGTGATGATTGAGTACTGCATGGACAACCCCACCTGAGAAGCTGCTTGGAATTCTGGAATTTGGACTGCAACTGCATTTCTCGACTCCCGCGTGTACTGAGAGCACTGCTATGGGGATAGGGAAGCCCGGGTTCCCCTAAGCCTTTTGGTTGTAAGGGTCGTGGTGCTGAGTTCCTGTGAGCGTAGTGCTAGCCAAAAAGGGGCTGGAGCTGACCGGACAGACAGTCTTTGCTGTGCATGCTTTGTGCGATGCGCGTGTCTAAAGCTGGATCATGTGACTGGATCCAACGAAGCGTAACTGCTGCTTCTGCTTGCACCGACCGGCGACCAAATGGCGCGACATGGCGCAAAGTCTCCCTTCCAGCCCAAAGGGCTGCCGGCTGGCGGATACTTCCCGTTATATCTAATCGATTCTAATCGCACCTTGTTTGGGGTCAGTATGAGACATGCTTGCATCGAGGAATTTCTTTCACATACAGTAGCATGACCTGAGGACAAGCCGCAGGGCGAGGCGCTTGTTCCCATCCCCAAAAACAACGCCAGGCCCTTGTTCGCGCGCGCCGATGCGTGCAAACGTGTCGAAATTGCCAGTCAATTCTAGTGTTGGGAGCACGAGCAGCAGCAAACAAATGCGTGAGGGTCGAAAAAGCATGCTTGAGAATTCCATTAAGCCCTGACATGGGCCCAAGCGAACCCGTCAAAACCCTGAAAATGACCCTTTGGACGAAATGCTGGCCCCGCTAGTTGTTCTGAGGCCTTTCTAGAAGAAAATGCATGAAAATACTGCGCATGCCAGCACTTTTGCAGTCCTAAAAACACCTTCCAGTCGCGGTGAAGAGGTGGACTGGAGGGCAAGACAGAAACAAAGACTGCAGAGCGCCTCCTCTTTCTCACCGACGAGAAGCTGCGAATTGGAGAGCTGGGGGCGCAATTTGGGCAAGGAATGGCGGGAGTCCTTTCCCCGACCCCACATCCAATCAAGAGTCAAAACAAGAAGGAGAAAGGGAGAAATGAATAAAGAAAAACATGCAGAAACAGAGAACCCAAAAAGGAGACGCAGAGCTCTGTTCACTTCGCAGTGAGTGAAGTCACCAAGGCAATGGCAGTACTCACGCATCTCACGCTATTGGTTAAAATCACCCGCATGTTTTCGGGAAAAATACATTTCCCTCAAAAAGCGTGGAAGTTGCTGGGGAGCGGGAACCCGGCGCCTGTTTTTCTCGAACGTAAGGAAGAGCCGTGGTTCGATCCATCCTGTACCGTGATTTTCAATTTCAATGCATACAGACTTCTGAGGCAGCCTGAGGTCCGTCCCACGTAAGACCGTTTCTCAACAGTTCAACTTGCAAAGGTTGTGGTCAACCATGGGTTGTCTTGGGGGCAGCAGGATCCTCTTGCCAGGAACCGTCTGCTGACTGTTGGTCGAGGATTTTGGGCCTCCCAGATTCCTCTTCTCGGCGCGAGTAGAGAAACCTATAACCAATTAACCAACCTCCAAATTCAGCGCGTTCCAAACTTCAATCCCGACTAGACGACAGACATACGCCTACAAGAATTACATTCAAACCGCGATGCCAGTGTCCTACAACTACTTAATCTTGCTCAAAAGCCCTAATCGCCGTAATCTTCTTTGAATCCTCCAGCATTTGATTCAGGACCACTGGGCCTAACAAGAAGCTTAGCACTCTGCGTATCTCCGAACTAAGTTTCAAGTTCAGCATGCCGACCCAATCTTCGAAACTACTGATGTTGGGCTTGGCGAGTCAGTGGGCCCACATGTGTATGATGTCAGCAACTCGATGCCCTGTGCATGTATAACATGATCCAGCTGCTTTCTTCCCTTCCCAGAATGGCGAGGCACTTGGGCCAGCCCTCATTGCCCACGACAAAGTAAGGAACAAAACGATGCAGGGCACAAAAGAGTGCCTCCAGCAGTAACCAGCAGGTAGCCACTTCGCATGGTATGGCCTGCCCGAGCCGGGCTACTACGTCGGCAACACACCAGCTATCCCCCGGAGCCTTGTCTTTGAGATCTCTGCTTTTGCGCAAAGATTGGATGTTGCTCGAATCCCTCTCAGGCTGCGGATTCCGGCCTTGAAGATGCAGGATGCTGGCCAGGGCTTCCGAGACACGGAATTTGGGACTGGCGGCACTTCAACAGCTTTCCCTAGTCCAGGCTCTCAGTGCCGAGACCCCCATACCTTTGCTATCTCCCGCTGGTGCGAGTGGCCTTGTATTTGCCTACTCTCCGAGGCATGCTGGCATTGGCCTCAACTTGGGACGAAGACCTAGTTCGCTTGGTTGGAGGAGCGCTTGGTACAGAGTTCAAGGCTTGGAACAGCAGCTCTCAGATCACACTTTGCAGATCTATGGGGTGCACGTCTGCAGGGCAAGGGGGCCAACTGTATTTTGGGGCCATCAATCAACGTGCACCGTGCCGCGGCCGGTGGTCGAAACTTCGAGTACTTGTCGGGCGAGGCCAGGATGTTTTGTGAGATGATTTTATAAGTCCATACCTTGCTCCAGTACAGAGGATGGCCATCTTGGTGCAAAGCTGACAGCGGCATATGTGAAGGGCGTCCAGGTCTTCCTTTCACCTGGCTTTCGCTCATCTGGGGCCTATTCTGAATCTCAGAGTGTTTATGCTTGGAGGAGCAAGGTGTTATTGCCACTGCAAAGCACTTTGCTTTCAACGAGCAGGCAGGTCATGCTTGAGCGGCTTTTCTGCTGAGCTTTGATCTCAAACAAGTTGCGAGTTGCGATTTCAAGCGCCTGCGAGTGATGCAGGAAACGAATCGCATGAGCATGGATGCACGAATCAGCGAGGCTTGCGCCAAATTGAGATCAAGCCCCCTTACCGGCTGAATTTGGAAGCAGGCTAAGGCTTAAACTTACCATAGGCCCAGGCTTCATCCAGCAAGAAAAAGTTCAGCATTTGACATGAGGTGGCAAAATCAAGTAAATGGAAACCTGAAGATTGAAAAAGGTGCGAAGATCTTATGGCCGAGGCTGCGGGGCTATTCCCTGAAAGCGCTGCGCATAAAGCCGAGCCGGCCTTTTCATATTTAGGGTCGGAGAAACAACGAGTGCAAGACTCAGGGCCAGTGCAAGACTCAGGGCCCGCTGACCATCTTTGATGCTTTCCTTCCAGCATTGACGCAATGCAGACTTAGAATCTTAAAGCATGTTACAGATCATTCCTGTTCCTTAGGGATTGGCTTGGCAAACAGGCTTGCCGGCACCTCCTGCCGAGCGAGATTCAAAAAACACAAACAAGCAAGAGGCATGCCTCGCATTTGGCAGACTAGAAGACCGTGCAGGGTGAAGGAATGCATTGAAGCATCGAGAACAACAATTTTAGCCTTTCCAGGCTTGCTGCCAGCACTTCTGTCCAACTTGCCGAGGAACGAACCCAATGGGAGCTGTACTATTTGCCCTTCAGGCTTGAACGCTGCTAAGATTTGCTGAGTACGCTTTCTTTTCGCACCCGCCTTGTCCGTGTGTCAGACATTGTTGGCAGGGCAGCAGCAGAGGCTGGCGTGGGCGCCGTGATGTGCGCATACAACAAGGTGCTTTCTCCGTTAGAGTTGCACCGCTGTGTTGGGCATGGGTGTGGAATTGCTGTGCCAGCATATGTGTTGGCCAACTCTGCTCGCAAACCAACACTGCAGAATAAAGGCTGTTGAGTCAACCTCAGCAGCCCCTGGCCACGTGATGTAGTCATTCACCCCAAAACAGTCGAGCGCAGGTCAACGGCACGTATGCTTGCCACAACTCCGAAATCCTCAATGCTGTCCGCAGCTCACATGCTGGGCATGCTGGCGTTAAGAAGTACGACATGCGCCTCCTGAAGCCAAGGACCTGCGCGGCAAAATGAACTTCTCCGGGTTCGTTATGTCTGACTGGACAGCGATGCACTCGAAGGACAGAGAAGTCAAACCTGATTCCAGCGCCTGATTTGTCACTTGCCACCCACCACCACTCAGGATGCTTTGGGAGCAGGCTTAGACCAGGAACAGCCGGGAATTATCAAGAAGGCTGCGCTATGCTGCGCTGCAGAGAAGTACGTGAACAGTTTGACAGCTGGCTGGCCATGTGAACAGGTGCCCATGCTTGGCGAGGTTGGGGTCCTTGTGGACGCCGTGATCAAGACATTGGATGCTTGGCGTACTTCAGAAAGCCTAGGGGGCTCCGAAGCTTTGGAGCCTTGGTTCCGTGCAAGAGACGCAAGACAGAGACCAGCAAGGGTTCTGTCCGGAGGCCAGACCAGTGCTGGAGACTGCGGCCATGCATGTCCTTACTACAATTTTTCGTCTGCGGCTTGATCAAGACGCGGGCTGCGCACCTCCGAACTGCACGCAGGCGCTTAGAGGTTTAGAGGCTTAGAGGCTTAGAGGCTTAGAGGCTTAGATCCGTTTTAGGCAGTGCAACTTAGTGCACGGTACGGACACAGCAGCGAGGAGCTGGCATCTGACCAAACCAAAGCAACAACGCACGGCGAGCGCCACGAGGACATCGCTCTGCGCGCTGCAGAGCCTGAACCCCAGTCGCCCTTCTGGTACGTCCGATTGCGTTTCTGTGTGCAAGTATTGGTGTACTTTTACAACCTGAGCTGCTTGAGCTGTGAGCGCACGACTTGTTCGTACTTGCCAGAGCATGGTGCTGGTACATATAGCGCGCGGCAAGCAGCTAGCAAGTTAGGGATTTCAAGCCTGGGAGCGAATTTGTACACAAACAGGACCTACCTCTCCTTTACGCACTCAAGCTGTGCAAAGCTCAATCCCATGGGTTGCCCAGTGCAAAAAGAATTAAAGTCATTCCACGCAGCAAACACGCTCAGCCTTCAGCGATGTTATCTGATCTTAGCTCGTCCTCGAGGCGCTCGGGAGGAAAGGAGGACAGAAATTGAGAGCGCCAAGACTCTGGATCTCGTAGTCTACAAGCTTTTGCTTGGTGGCTCATCTGCGAGAGCACAGCGATAAAGTGTAATGTGGGGTCCTGATTAGTGTAGGGGCCCCCCCCCCTTTCCCCAAACGAATAGGGGACCCTTTTAATACAGCGGGACAGGGGGGCCCCCCAAACAAATCTGGATCCTAGGTTCAGGCGGGATTGGATCCTAGGTTATATTTAAAATTCAATAGGCGGGATTGGATCTATTTTATTTGGCCGCGCAACTTCGCACAATTAAGGCCCCCCAAACGAACCAGGGGGGTAAGAATAATTTCGGCCAAACTTCGCACAATTGAGTCCCAACATTAGCCCACAGCGGTGCTACGCAACAGTGCAGCCAGGATCACAGGCAAATTAGCACAAGACAATCACTAGATGTCTGCTGAGGCTACACACAAGGTTTAGCCCGAAGACATGCTCAAAAAGCCAGCATCGCGCAAGCTGCACGTCCAGAGTGTGTCATGTTGCCAAGGCTAACAGCATTGACCTTTTCCGGCATCCACGCGATTATACATGCCACTTCCCGCATAAGCAGCAGTTCAAAACCGGATAGTGCCATTGCACAACATTTCACATCCACACGCCCAACTTGTGAGTATGCTGATCTCTATGATATCTCTTGTGCTTCACCTGGGCACTAGCAGGGTCGCAGCATTTTGACGTCGTAGCCAATGGGGCAAAGGCTTAAGTGTGGTTCCGCTTACAGGGCTTGGTTTTCATGGTCATGCCCAATAATCTGTGCGCCAGCCAGACGTGCAAGGCTACAGCGGGGCGTAATCATGTAGATCATCGCAGAAGTTTGTGTATGAGGTTCGATGGTGCGTTGGACGCGTTTTCGTTCAACTTGCACCCATTGCTCAACCTGGGCATACCTCGACTTGAACAAGATTTCGGTAGATAGCATTTCATCTCATAGCTCGGTCAGGTCTGGCATTGTTCTCCTGAAGAACGAGCAGGGGCTGCTCCCCCTGCGAAAAGGAAAGCTCCACAGGACCTGAACAGCTCGTGCGTGCTTGTTTTCATTTTTGTTGATGACTCGTTGAGCTAGACAGTGCTGCAGGTCCTTGAGTAAATTGGCGGCACATGGTATGCGGAAAGCCGAGTGCCCATGCAGGATTGCTGTTGTAGGGAATGCAGCTGCGGATGAGTCGCATGGCACGTTCGTGGGCAAAGGCTGCCCGCTGGGGTCAAGAACGCTTTGCTCTGTGGAAATTGAAGCTGTGTTGCGCAGTGGGGGATCCTGCAGGACATCCTCCCTGGCTTGGTGGGTTCTCATATGTCTGTGAATCCAAAATACTGGGTTTGTAACAGGCTTGTGCAGCCATTCCGCGACATAGATCTGTAACAGACTCTCCAGGCTTGTGACAACAAGCACCTTTGCGACAAGATTCTTTTGTGGGGCATGCCTGCGGCAAGCATTGGCATCAACGGTATGTAACAACAGACCGCGACAAAGGGGTATGTAACAGTGGGTAAGAGGGGGGTGGGGGGGGCGCAACAAAACGGATTTTGATTCACGGGTTGCGAGTTTGAGTCACTCAGACCTTTGGAAAGTGTGACGCCTGTCTACAGCTGAATTGGACTGCGCTCCTACTCGTACCACCCTCCAGCGAACTGACGTCTGAGCGGTCACTTTTGAGGTTTCATGCTTGCGTAGGGGAGTGTAATTTGCCTCCTTGGTATCTGAAACCAGTTTCCGTTTTCACTCATACCCGTGCAGTATACAGTTTGGCGAAGGGCTTTTCTAAGACTGAGCCCTTAAGCTCCAAAAACCTAAACTACGCAAGTCATACAAGCGGCAAAAAGAGCCTCAAGCCACAAACCCCCAAACCCCTAAATTGAATGTGTGTCTGTCAAACTCCTGTAAATTTCATTGGAAGGTGTGGCCATTGCCTCTTACACTCCTCCTACATTCCACAATATTCTACAGAAGATAGCTCACCCTCCATATGTGGTTGCGCCCCGGCGGCCCCCCCCTCACCCCCTCCACACCTCTCCCCCTGTTCCCTTCCCCCCTCCCCCTTATCCCTCTCCCCCACCCCCCTCCCCCCCACGCTCTCCCTTCATCCCCATACCCATGACTGCATCTTCTTTCTGTTTCCTCCCTTCCCCCTGTGGGATGCTGAAACTTGTGGTTCTTTAGCATTCTGTCCAGTGACTATCAAATATGTTTTTGGCTTGCTGGTAGTTGCCCCTCTTGTGGGTGGCTTGCAGGTCGTCAATCGATCAATGGCTGAAAGCATGAGCGGGCATCTTGTTTCTACCCCCTAGTGGTCCTGTGGGGTGTTGGCACCTGTGGTGCTCTGGTTCTGTTTGGAGACAATTGAATCTGATTTTGGCTGGCTGTGGTTAATCGATCACAGCATGATAAGCACATGTTCTTTCTACTCCCCCCCCGTGGTCCCGTGGGGCGCTGGCGCCTGTGGTCCGCAGGGGTGCTGTTTCGTGACTTGATGACGAGCAAGCCTGGTTTGGGCTTGTTGCTTTATGACGTTCCCCCGCAAGCCTTGAAAGACGATGACAGTAAAGAGGATTGTGACCTGGATGCCCACCATCCCTGTGAGCTCACTGTTAAGTCCTGTGACATCAAAAACGATGACACTTACGAGAATTTCGCCTCCAAAACCTCAAAAACAAGAACAGTCACGAGGATTGCGCGCTTGACACCCGCGTTCATCAAAAACGATGACATTTATGAGAATTTTGCCTCCAGGGTTTTAAAAAACAAGGACAGTCACGAGGATTGCGACCCACGTTCGTTGGCACTTTTGAGCTCTTCAACATTAAGCCTGATAGGATCCACGAACCCGAATGCAGACACGTGAAATATAGTTCCATCCTCTCCTCTGCTTTCCTTTATCCTCTCCTCCACACAATTCTCGATCCTATCCTCTTTGCTCTCCTCTCTTTCTTAAGACATGTCCTCCATCCTCTCCTCCGTCCCCTGCCCTCTCTCCTCTCTCCACTCTCCTCTCCCCTCTCCCCTCTCCCTCCTCTCTCCCCTCTCCTATCTCCACTCGTGTCCTCTCCTCTCCTCTCCTCTCGTCTCCTCTCCTCTCCTCTCCTCTCCTCTCCTCTCGTCTCCTCTCCTGTCCTCTCCTCTCCTCTTGTCCTCTCCTCTTCTCGCACGAGGAGGCCCCAAAAGCGACGACAATTCGCCGTTTCGCGACCAGGACCCCCCGATCCCTGTGACAGTTCACACTGCTGAGACGCGAGGACCAAACGCAAGTCCAAAAGTGACGACAATTCTGCGTTTCGCGACCAGGACCCCCCCGATCCCTGTGACGGTTGACACTGTTGAGACGCGAAGACCAAACGCAAGTCCAAAAGTGACGACTGTTCGACACTTTTGAGATGCGAAGACCAAACGCAAGTCCAAAAGTGACGACAATTCTGCGTTTCGCGACCGGGACTTCTTCTGGTCACTGTGACGGTTGACACTTTTGAGACGCGAAGACCAAATGCAAGTCCAAAAGTGACGACACTGTGTTTCACGACCATTTCGACTGCCAAGAATGCGCGACACTCGCGAACGCTTTGCCGACGCTTGCCAGCAACAGGCACCCTTCTGCGGAGCATTCGGGAAAACGACGACAGTCACGAGGATCGCGAGCTGGACACCTACCATCCATGTGATTGTTCACGCTTTTGAGAGAGGCCCTGGCTGGGGGTCAGGGGGCCATGCCATGGGGGGGTCGTGGGGGGCGCCTTCAACGTACAACGCACAACCATATATGTATTCATATGATTTCATACGTGTGTATCTATATATACATATGTACACGCCACATACGCTCTGTAAGCCCTTCACTCCCCAGCTTCGCGCGACCTTGGGGTCGACATCCTTGCAAAGCTAGTCGGGGGCAGTAGTGTACTAGGCCAGAACACCTGAGCTTCTACGCACATTTATGACGGACGGCTTAAGATATGTGGAGATAGGTCGTGATCTGCATACAGCGGCCAGTCTGAAGAAATCTTACCCAGCAGGAAGAGCACAACCTGAAGATCTGGATTCAAGGCCTAGATCGACGAGAGTTTTCGAAGCTGTGCCTGCCGGCAGGTTCTGGATTTGTGAAACCAGACTCTTCTGCAAAGACGCCGCTTCAGGCCATCGAGGACCGGACTCAATTCTGGCAGAGCTTTGCGCAAACACGCCTGCCGCTGATCAGGAGAAGGCAGCCAAGGCGGAGATCCAAGTCCTCAAGCCGGAAGGTGCCAGCATCGAGGAGGCGTTGTGTTCTGTTCATTTCAAGCTTTGTCTGGCCTGTCCTTTGGCTGAACTTTGGCTCGCGCCTGTCGACATTCTAAAAGCTTCTTTCCTGACGTCGCAACTTAGCTGCCTGCTTGCTGTGGGACAGAACGGTTCAGGCCAGCTCTCTTGCCCAATCAGTTGATGCCGTGATCGTTGTCATTGGAACTGCCACTTGGCACGCAGAGGTGCCGCAGTGCCACATCTTCAGCTTGGACTTGGGATGACTTGGGCATTTGGGCATTTCGATGGTCCACAGTCACGATCATGCTTGACCTGCTGCATGCCGAATGCCTGATGTTTTGGCTGGCAACAGTTTCTGTGAAGCTTTAGAACCCGGAACCTCTCTTATCTCGCACTACTTAGGATGCATCAGAAGGAATGGACCGTGCGGGCCTCACTCAGGCCGCTGAAGAACGACTTCAAGGACTTAGCTCGGCTTGCGCTTGGAAATGCGACCAATTTCAGATCCTTTGCTTCCACCTTTTTGCTTTTTTTTCCTCTCGACCTGAAACCATCTCAAACCAGCACTCAGGTGCCTCGCTTGGGCTCGGAAACTTCAGCCGTGCGCTCAAGCTCCCCATGGACGCAGCAGTCTCCTTGCCAGAAGAGTACCCTGCCTTGGAGGCGATGCCATGATTGAAGCAGTGGCTGGCAAAGCTCCCACCATTGTGCTTCTCCAGATCCCGGGAGCCGTTCAATCCTAAGTTTGCAACGTTCAAGTCGATCTGCGGTGCATGTGGCTCGAGATATGCAGGGTATCGTGTTCAGGCGTTCTGTTTTGTCAATGATGGCTCTCTGCTATGAAGCCTTTCAGCCCCATGAACGGAGCTTGGCTGAGCTGCGCCGCATGAAGGCTCGACTCGCACCAACCAGATAGCTGTCATGTTCACGTGCCAGCGGTGATGAGCGATCACAAGCGGCCACCAGCGCCCCGTGCAAAGGAGCATCACCTGTGCAACAGCTTGACACCTGAGCATCACACTTAGTAGGGCCTTGGCCAGCGGGGACGTGGCTAACTGCCAGCAATTGCAAGCATTACTCCGATGTTTTGAAGGAGCTCTTGGGCGAAGGCCCAGGTTGCAGGCTCGTCATAGAACTCACCTACTGTACCCATGACCTGCCTGTCGTGAAGCAAAGGGCTGAGCGTTTAAGCTCCGCTTCTGCCAGCCACCTGAGCTCTACTGACTCTACTAGAGGATGAGCAAACGAGGCGAAGGTGAACAAGGGCAGCTTCAGGATTTCCATGCCGACAAGTTCCGGTTAGTCCGCAGTCCAGGTTGCGATCTGGCTGACGTGAAGATAGGATGAGTCTATAAGATGTCGGCCCGAGGACGGGGGATGAACTTCCGGAAAAATATTCGGAACACCTTTGCGCAAACGAGCAGCTTTAGAACCTCTAGAAAGAGGCAGCTTGCTAAGGGATAGCCGAAAGGATGCCCTCCTACCAGCACAGACCTCCGTGGAGAAGGAGAAGAAGAGAGGCGACTCTTTCGGAGCATCGAGGTCAGAAGCCGACGCGCTAACTTCCTCCCACTCGAGAAAAAAGTTACGCTTAAGTTGCCATGCAGAGACTTGGTAGGCATCTTTTTTTCAGAGATGCCTTCTTCACACCCCAGTCCAACCATGCTGACAAGATACAGAAAAAGGTTGGATCAGGATAGAGAAGTAACAAAGCCATAAGCAGGTCCTGAGCATAGTTCGCCAGTCATGATACGTATGTTTTCCAAGACATTTCGGCTTCCACCATGAGGCCCTGCACCACCGGGCATGTTGTCATGTCCTCCAACTCTAAATCACAGCCGACAACTTTATGCTTCTGCAGTTCAAGGATATCGCCAGGTTTGAGAGTTTGGCTTGTAGCAGGCGAAACCTATCCTTGCACTTGAGGTCCAGCACTGCATGTGTATATTTGGCAATTCAACAGAGCAGTCCACTCAATGGGCAATTCCGCTCACCGCGCCTGCCGCTGGAGCCGACATGCGCATCGGCCAGCGACAATCCGTGCGCGCAGAAGCACTGCATGCTGCGTGTGGCTCGGCTTATTTTGGCATGGCCTAGACTGACGGCATGACGAGATTTGGGTGGTGCAGCTTAGCAGTCTGGGAGCCCTCGTCTAGCTAAAGTGGAGAAAAAGAATTTGTTCCCGAAAGGCGGTGCTCGCTCCCAGCCTGGCTTTGAGATCCTGGGCTTTGAACTTGCTGGCATCACGCTTTTGCATGCGTTTGCATTCTCTTGCGTGTTTGTTGCTGAGGTTTGTTTGTCAGTGCTTACTCTGAGCTTTCTAGCGCGAAGGCCAAAATTGGAAGAGCTGCCCCACTGGAGCAGGACTGCTGCCAGGCAGACTTCTATCATCTTCCGTCCAAGGCATCCTTGCTTTGAACATGTCTGAGATCTCTGGCATTGCAGGCGCCAGCACTTGTTCTCAGTGCCCTGCTGGGACTTGGAGTTCCGTGGGCAGCGTGGAGTGCAGCGAGTGCAGACCTGGAAGGTGGAGTACGAAGGAGGGATATACAAACGACGTTTGAGCAGCATGCATTCAAAAGCGCACAAGATTTATCGCTCCTTTGGCTGCCTATACTTGTACTTATCAGAGCTGCAAGGAGGGTGCATCAGAAGAAGATGCAGCTCTGCAGAAATTTGATTATGTTGCTGCCGGAACGGTAGGATTCCTTGAGAGCACGTTGATACTGCGAGAAGCTGATGTCAAGGTTTGCCAACCATGCGATGCAGGCCTTGCAAGTTCGGTGTCATGCGCTGACAGTCCGGCATGCGTTCTCGATGTTCTCGACGTGAGACACTTCAAGACAACAGATCAGCAAGCAGGGATGGCGCGTCATGCGGTCTTGAGGCAAATGGAGCAGTCAGCAAGGCGCTGTCCTTGAGGCGCGCATGACTTTCTTGATTACGGTCCCCCAAGCAAGAGAAGCCTTGCAGGCTGCCTGTCAAGACTGCCCGCATGGGCGGTGGAGCGAGGAACTTGCGGCTGACACGTTCACCAAGTGTAACCATTGTCCTCCTGGAAGGCAAGATGTACCAAACTGGCTTGTAAACTGCCAGCCAAGTAGGGCGCCAGACAGCAGGTGGAGCGACAAGTGGGGAAACAGCAACGTCTCTGATTGTACCCTCTGCCCAGAAGGAACGCCCCCTGTCCTTTCAGAGCCAACGTTGTTTTATGGTTTGTAGCCCAGTCTTTGAAATGCTGCTACGGATTCCAGGGCCTTGCATCCTCACGAGAGGTAAGCCCAGGTAAGCCCTGTCTCAACAGCAAAGGTATGGACCACATACAGGGCAGTCTCATCAAGATGCATGCCATGGTTGTCCAGCAGGAAGATGGAGATCAGAGCAAGGCTCGAAAATGTTACAAGACTTGATTTCAGTTCCAGGATGTATCATGCAAAGTTTTTGTGCAGAGGTGGCACTGCAGTCACCGACTGCAGTCGCTGCCCAGCTGGCACGTGGAGCTCACTCTTTGGTGCGAGCGTGTTTCAGCTCAATTGGCCATCGCCTTGAAATCGGGGCCCTTCTGCAGAGCATTCTACATATGTGTATGTCTATCCATGCTTGGAGCACCGGCCTCTCGTCTCCCTTGCGCCTGCATTATTCTCACGTTCATCTATCCAGGCAGCGAATAGCACTGTGCTAATGCGCGTTGCGTCGGAAGATTTGTGATTCGCTGAATAGTTGAAGGTCCCCAACTGACATCAACACAAGCTGGTTGTTGACTGGGTCTGTCACATCCAAGATAGAGATGCCGTCAGCTACGAGTAAGAGAACCTGAGCCAAATTTGGCCCGATGATTTGATTGCAGGAAAGTGCGGCTTGTACGTTGTGCACGGCTGGGCGCTGGAGCGACACAGAAGGTGCAGACAGCGACAGCTTCTGCAGACTTCTTGGCCGAACATGTTTGTTAAGAGAGGAAGGGGAAGCTTCAGAATTCGGTGACTTTTGGCCCTCAGCATGTAGTGTCACCTACAGTGTCTGAGGCGTCAGCAGGTGACCCAGGCAAGCCAAGTTAAAAGTGGCACAGGAGCGCACGAAACATTGCTTCATTGACTAAGATCGCAACCCCTCCCCGGGCAATCATGCTGATGCATGCTTTTGTAGGCCCACTAGCCCTTTCTACTTGCCAATGGTCGGTAGCTTGTCCCTGTTCTTAAGGTCTCAAGGATTTTGGCCTTCATTAAGATAATCTCTTTAACATGTGTACGTTTACAGGTCTCCATCACAAAATTGAACAATTGCAACTTTTCATGCTGGCTCCCACTGGAGCCCTCTAACTTTCGTGGCCATCTTCTCACGTTTCAGGCTTGGGCTGAGTTCACAAGTAGCGTGTAAATCCCACCATCACTTGATTACGTCCAGCAACGCTGGGCAATGGCTTCAAGGGTAGCTATTCTGCTATTCCTACAGTTGGATTTGGTTCAGGCTAGGTCTGTCAGCGGCTTCGGATGAGTGCCGTGCCTCCTGCTTAAGTCGGCCCAACCGATCCTTGACGTCATACTTGGGTAATCATCTGAGTGGCTCGTAGCTCAGGATACTGTGTGCAGGGCCGTTACAGCACTCTCGCTGGTGCATCCTCACAGTGCGCTGCCTGCCCGTGGCATGGCTGAAGACCTACTCTGCCCATGCATAAGTAAGAAAAAATGATCTAATTCTATACGTTGGCAATTGGCAGGGCTCAAACCTTTGAGCTCATGCTGCACCATACGTGTCCAAGTTATGCCTGGATCAAAGGTCGGGGCGCTGGTGGGACGGCCCACTGGGCTCCAACAGCACCGCTGCCTGTGTGCCTTGCCCGCCTGGGCGCTACCAACCTGTGCAAGCCCAGGCCTTCTGTGAGCACTCTTGCACACCCTTGCATTTCTTGCTTAGAAGCTTGCAGGTTGGCCAGACCAGTTGCCTGCCATGCGCAGTGGGGAACTTCAACGACGAAAGCGGCGCTTCGGCATGCCAGTCCTGCAGCCCTGGACACTTCAGTTCCTCAGTCGGCAGCTCTGTTTGCCAGCTGTGCGAGGCCGGGGCGCATCAGCTACTCTTAGTGCAACTAGCAGAATAGTGCGGTCACATGTTTGACTGGTGAAGTTCAGGATGGCTGGACGCGCGAACATGGAGCTGTGACCCTTGTCTCCGCAGAACGCCCTCATCAAAATCTCTTGGGAAGATGTTAGATTTCGGACCACCGCAGAAAGATCGACCAAGGATTCTTTGTTATAGTTTACTGAGGGTTTCGATACACTTTGAATTTACACCTTTACTACACCATGCATGTCCCAGTTGCAGCATCAATACAGATTGCAATACAGTGTCAATGGGGGAACCCGTACAGCACGTAAACAAACTGTACACACTGGTAGGTATACGGGAAATCCAGAAAAGCATTTAAACAGACATAGAAGCCCTTTCAAATACAAAAGCCACTCAGCAAACATGCAAACAACAAAAGACTTGTGCGTGCGTGTCCTTACATGGCTTTCCTCGAGCTCCAGGCAGACCATTACAAATGAACGAGCAACATGAAAAAACGAATTGGACTTGTTTTTCTAGTGGGCTGGTAATTTTTGACTCATTCATTCCTGGTACCTTGCAACCTGTCAAATGCTTATGTGAGAAGAGTAGGGAGACCGAGACGTGAGTGGATCACTGAGGTTAGGAACAAGGCTTTTCAATTTGTAGCCGACCACCGCGAAATCGC